CAATAAATGGGGCAGACCCATAAATTGCCAGGCTGGCAAGTTTGTCAATTGCTGATTTGCTTCTTTGTCACTGTACAGATGATATTCTAAGGTTCTAATTCATTAAAAGGGTGAATCAAGAATCCTGACTTAGGTACCTGCAAGTTATGCTAAGGTCTTCCTAAAAGTGGGGGACAGTGTTCAGGGGTGCTTCATCTCACCCTGAGTTAATTGCTGAAGGAAGATGAGCTGAATTGCTCAGCAGCAGTGCTGCTTTCTCTCTCTACAGGGGAAGCTCTGTTGATTAGTTCAGACTTGGACATCTGACTATTTTGTTGTAGTGCACAGAAACCAAAGAGTTCACACTGAAGACATGCGGAGCACTGAGAAATCAAATCATGTGCATATGCAACCAAGAATTTTTCTGCAAGGTAGTTTCATGAGCACAATGGCACTTCTGCAAGTGAGGTTGATGGGATAGCTCAGTAAATAAAAACGTTCACATTTGTCAGTGACTGCAGAATAAATCCCTATTCAAGCAATTACACACCAGTTTAGTTTCAAAGCAATCTTAGCCCATTAAAGAAAAATGCATATTTAAAGTATTCTGGCTTTGTATTTAACGGATTGATTATCACCGTTGGTGTTTGCCAAGCACACCCACACAAAGTTCACTTTGAAAACTGCCTAAGTGCAGATTTGCCCATCAGACCAGAACAGCCTTGGGTATATAATAATAATTTCTTGCTTAATTATGTACTTACTCAGGACGTTTAGAGATATTCTGGTCTTCTGAGTGAATGAGAACTTTTGAAAAGCAGCAGTTCTCTCCCTCTCCCAGCATGGAGGTGCTGAAATGCTAAGGCTGTTGTTCTATGCCAGTGTGCCTCAGCTGTCTGATGACAGGCACCACATGGGAACAGGCACTAGGTGACCTCAGGACCCCTTGGCAAGGCAGTGGTAGCACCAGCTTTCTCAGGAGCACTACTGTGACAGCAGAAGCTGAAAATTCACCAGTCACCTCTATTTTGTCCTCTCTCTTAGTGATAGAAACCTACCTAGGAAGTTTGTCCTGCCATGCTCAAGCAGGGACCTGAGGCTTTGGCACATCAACTGATCCCTGTAGATATGTGGAACCAGACAGGTGTTTTCTTGAAGGCATCTGGCAGAGCAGCACATGGGGGCGTAGAGAAGCACTGCACTAATAGGACAGGCAGACGGTAACCAGGTCTTGCTTGTCTCAACTGTAGCCCGCACTGCTATCTCTGAGGCCAAAATTGAGGTCCTGCTGTTTCTCCTGGAGAGGTTTTTCCCTGAGTGGCTTGAGCATGTACCTGTGCTCAGAGGTCAGGGCAGGGGGTCCCTCTTGTCCTCTTCTTGTGCACTGACTAGGACCATCACAGGCCATGGACATTGCAAACTCTTGTCACGTCATCAGCATTAGTCTCCCCCTACTTCAACCCTTCCCAGAGATCCTCCAACATCCTATGATAAGGACTTTTCCCAGCTTGGAAGAACTATTTTTCCACTGGCCTGGGTAGAAACTAACCAGCTGGAAATATTAACTGGGAACAGCCCTCTTTTGATTTCTCCTCTCTACTGCCCTGTAAGGCTTATGGGCAGCTCATCTGGAGGCTTCCCATGGTTTTAGTCCTGCACTTGGGAACTAGGCCAAAGCAAGAGGTGGTGTGTATCTAGGAAGAGAGTAGGACAAGATGGAGAATTAGGCCTTTTGAGACTGACTACAGCTTTTTTTTCTTAAGAGTAGACCATATAATGCAAGTCTTTCAAACTGAGGCTTGTGGTTAATCTGTCACAGAAGTGTTGCTAATGATTGATAATGACTGAGAGGAAACATTCATAGAATTATTCAGCATTATTAGTCTGATAACCAATGCAGGGGGACATAATAACCCCCACAAAGAAACATGTGCTAGAGATTTCCAGTGTGGTCAACAAACCTGTTTTCATTTCCTTTTTTTGTTTTATGTCCTATTTCAAAAGAAGTCAGTCCTCCTTCACTCCTCGCTTTCAAAAACAGGACATTGCAACAAACAAACAGAGTTTCTGCCAAAAGAGGATTTTGGAGGTGTAGGGATTCAGCAAGACCCAGCACTTGTGGCCATCACTGTCCTTTCAAGTGTTACAAAAAATGACAAAAAGCCAATTGGCTGTTGTCACCCTGACACAATGGTCACAACCGCAGAGAAGTAACGATATAATCAAAACCACACAGCAATCAATGTATTTGACAAATCACCCATCAGCATCATTATTTATATATATATTTATAGCTTAAAATTTAAAAAATTGCAAGAAAATCTTTTATATTATTAAATAATTTACTTTTATAATGTAATTGGATACATACCTTGTACTGTTTCAGCTCCAGGCAGAACACAGTTTGAGTTACCAAATCAATACAAGGCATTCTTGGGACAATTTAAGCATGTCTGTACAAGGAGGTTGAACCCATTTCACTGCAGTTTTCTCTAATCTGAATAAGTAAAATCAGCACAGACTTCACAGGGGTCCAAACCACTCTGTTGTGGGGAATAAACCCATTGGTAGGAAACGCTGGAAATCTCTGCTTGTTTTGGCTCTTA